AATACACTTTAGGAGTTGAGGTCGAATTTAGCAGCGTTAAATCGATTTAACCCTGCAACAGTCCACATGACGAAGCCCTTTTTTTCAACTTAAAGCGCTCTTAAAATCGATTTCTTTACTCCACCCCCGACAAGGGGATTAGCGCTGAAATCGGCCTTGCAGGTCGAATTTGGGGTACTGTGGACGCAATTAGATGGTATTGGCCTCCAGGAGCTATCCCAGAATGCTCCATTGTGACCGCTCTGGACAGTACTCTCAACTCAGATGCACTGGCCAGGTAGACAGGAAAAGGCCTGTGAACTTTTGAATTTCATTTCCTGTTTGGCCAGCGTGGCAAGCTGCAGGTGAGTGCATAGCTCCTCAGCAGAGGTGACCATGATGGAGTCCCAGAATCGCAAAAGAGCTCCAGCATGGACCAAACGGGAGGTACGGGATCTGATCGCTGTATAGGGAGAGGAATCTGTGCTATCAGAACTCCGTTCCAGTTTTCGAAATGCCAAAACATTTGCCAAAATCTCCCAGGGCATGAAGGACAGAGGCCATAACAGGGACCCAAAGCAGTGCTGCGTGAAACTGAAGGAGCTGAGGCAAGCCTACCAGAAAACCAGAGAGGCGAACGGCCGCTCCGGGTCAGAGCCCAAACATGCCGCTTCTATGATGAGCTGCATGCCATTTTAGGGGGTTCAGCCACCACTACCCCAGCCGTGTTTGACTCCTTCAATGGAGATGGAGGCAACACGGAAGCAGGTTTTGGGGACGAAGAAGATGATAATGATGATGATGAGGTTGTAGATAGCTCACAGCAAGCAAGCGGAGAAACCAGTTTTCCCGACAGCCAGGAACTGTTTCTCACCCTGGACCTGGAGCCAGTACCCCCTGAACCCACCCAAGGCTGCTTCCTGGACCCGGCAGGCGGAGAAGGGACCTACAGTGAGTGTACCGTTTAAAATACTATACATGGTTTAAAAGCAAGCGTGTGAAAGGATTACTTTGCCCTGGCACTCGTGGCTCTCCTGGATGTACTCCCAAAGCCTTTGCAAAAGGTTTCTGGGAAGGGCAGCCTTATTCCATTCACCATGTTAGGACACTTTACCACTCCAGGCCAGTAGCACATAGTCGGGAATCACTGTAGAACAAAGCATTGCTGGCATTCAAACAACATCCGTTCTTTATCTCTCTGTGTTATTCTCAGGAGAGTGATATCATTCATGGTCACCTGGTTGAAATAGAGTGCTTTTCTTAAGGGAACATTCAGAGGTGCCCATTCCTGCTGGGCTGTTTGCCTGTGGCTGAACAAAAATGTTCCCCGCTGTTAGCCATGGGGAGGGGCTAGCCACATGGTGGGGGGAGGCAAAATGTGGCCTTGTAACGAAAGTACATGAGCTATGTATGTAATGTTAACAGAAAGGTTTACCATGAAAGAGTGTACCCATTGTTCTATAAAATGTGTCTTTTTAAATACCACTGTCCCTTTTTTTTCCTCCACCAGCTGCATGTGTTTCAAGGATCACAGGATCTTCTCCTTCCCAGAGGCTAGTGAAGATTAGAAGGCAAAAAAAACGCACTCGCAATGAAATGTTCTCTGACCTCACGCTGTCCTTGCACACTGACAGAGCACAGACGAATGCATGGAGGCAGACAATGACAGAGTGCAGGAAAGCACAAAATGACCGGAAGGAGAGGTGGTGGGCTGAAGAGAGTAAGTGGTGGGCTGAAGAGAGGGCTGAAGCTGAAAGGTGGCGGCAGCGCGATGATAGGAGGCAGGATTCAGTGGTGAGGCTGCTGGAGGATCAAATTAATATGCTCCAGCGTATGGTTGAGCTGCAGGAAAGGCAGCTGGAGCACAGACCGCCACTACAGCTCCTGGGTAACCAACCCCCCTCCTCCTCAAGTTCCATAGCCTCCATATCCAGACACCCAAGAATGTGGAGGGGGGGCCTCCGGCCACCCAGCCACTCCACCCCAGAGGATTGCCCAAGCAACAGAAGGCTGGCATTCAATAAGTTTTAAACTTTTAAAGTGCTGTGTGGCCGTATCCTTCCCTCCTCCATCACCCCTCCTAGGCTACCTTGGTAGTTATCCCCCTATTTGTGTGATGAATTAATAAAGAATGCATGAATGTGAAGCAACAATGACTTTATTGCCTCCGCAAGTGATGATCGAAGGGAGGAGGGGAAGGTGGTTAGCTTACAGGGAAGTAGAGTGAACCAAGGGGCGGGGAGTTTCATCAAGGAGAAACAAACAGAACTTTCACACCGTAGCCTGGCCAGTCATGAAACTGGTTTTCAAACTTCTCTGATGCGCACCGCGCCCTTCTGTGCTCTTCTAACCGCACTGGTGTCTGGCTGCATGTAACCAGTGGCCAGGCAATTTGCCTCAACCTCGCACTCCACCATAAATGTCTCTCCCTTACTCTCATAGATATAGTGGAGCGCACAACAAGCAGTAATAACAGTGGGAATATTGGTTTCGCTGAGGTCTAAGCGAGTCAGTAAACTGCGCCAGCACGCTTTTAAACGTCCAAATGCACATTCTACCACCATTCTGCACTTGCTCAGCCTGTAGCTGAACAGCTCCTGGCTACTGTCCAGGCTGCCTGTGTATGGCTTCATGTATGGCAATTGCATTACGGGGTAGGCTGGGTCCCCAAGGATAACTATAGGCATTTCAACATCCCCAATGGTTATTTTCTGGTCTGGGAATAAAGTCCCTTCCTGCAGCTGTTGAAACAGACCAGAGTTCCTGAAGATGCGAGCATCGTGTACCTTTCCCGGCCATCCCACATTGATGTTGGTGAAATGTCCCTTGTGATCCACCAGTCCTTGCAGCACTATTGAAAAGTACCGCTTGCGGTTTATGTACTTGCCGGCTTGGTGCTCCAGTGCCAAGATAGGGATATGGGTTCCATCTATAGCCCCACCACAGTTAGGGAATCCTATTGCAGCAAAGCCATCCACTATGACCTGCACATTTCCCAGACTCACTACCTTTGATATCAGCAGATATTTGATTGCGTTGGCTACTTGCATCACAGCAGCCCCCACAGTAGATTTGCCTACTCCAAATTGATTCCCGACTGACGGGTAGCTGTCTGGCGTTGCAGGCTTCCACAGGGCTATTGCCACTTGCTTCTCAACTGTGAGGGCTGCTCTCATCTTGGTATTCTTGCACCTTAGGGCAGGGGAAAGCAAGTCAAAGTTCCATGAAAGTGCCCTTACGCATGCAAAAGTTTCGCAGCCATTGGGAATCATCCCAGACCTGCAACACTATGCGGTCCCACCAGTCTGTGCTTTGTTTCCCAGGCTCAGAATCGGCGTTCCACTGCATGAACCTGCCCCATTAGCACCATGATGCCCACATTGCCAGGGCCCATGCTTTGAGAGAAGTCTGTGTCCATGTCCTCATCACTCTCGTCACCACGCTGACGTCACTTACTCGCCCAGTTTCGCTTTGCCAGGTTCCGGTGCTGCATATACTGCTGGATAATGCGCATAGTGTTTAATATGCTCCAAATTGCCAAAGTGATCTGAGCGGGCTCCACGCTTGCCGTGGTATGGCGTTTGCACAGAAAAAAGTCACAGAATGATTGTCTGCCGTTGCCCTGACAGAGGGAGGGGCGACTGATGACATGGCTTACAGGGTTGGCTTACAGGGAATTAAAATCAACAGAGGGGGTGGCTTTACATCAAGGAGAAACAAAAACAACTGTTACACAGAATGGCCCCCTCAAGGATTGAAATCAAAACCCTGAGTTTAGCAGGCCAATGCTCAAATCACTGAGCTATCCCTCCCCCCGGTATTTCAGGCAGGACTGGATCTCCATTATACTTTTCAAGGTGCCCCTGACAGACCACACCGAAATGATTGTTGGCCATTGATTTCATGGAGGGAGGGAGTGGGGAGCAAACGAATACAAAACAAATCTGGTGTATTTCTTGTTTTGATCCACTCCATCTATCTTTTACATCTCTGTCTGGCAGCAGATGGTGCAGTAGGACTGCAAGCCATTCTCATCTCCTGGCTGCTCAGCAGAAGATGGTGCAATAGGACTGCCGGCAGGACTAAAGAGAATGACCTCGTCGAGTCACTCCTAATTTAGTCTCTGCACCCATGTCTGCCCAGGCGCTCCTGACCGACCTTAGGCGGCCAGGAGCACCTCGGACACGATGACGATGGTTATCAGGCCTATTGCACCATCTGTTGCCACAAGGCAATGGGTTGCTGCTGCTGTGTAGCAATGCAGTACCACGTCTGCCAGCACCCAGGAGACGTACGGTGACAGTGAGCTGAGCGGGCTCCATACTTGCCATGGTATGGCCTCTGCACAGGTAACTCAGGAAAAAAGGCATGAAACAATTGTCTGCCGTTGCTTTCGCGGAGGGTGGGAGGGCCTGACGACATGTACCCAGAACCACCCGTGACAATGTTTTTGCCCCATTAGGCATTGGGTCTCAACCCAGAATTCCAATGGGCAGCGGAGACTGCGGGAACTGTGGGATAGCTACCTTGTTTTTTCCTCCCCCCCCTACTGTTCCTCAGACGTTCTTTTTAAACCCTGGATTTGTGCTGGAAATGGCCCACCTTGATTATCATACACATTGTAAGGAGAGTGATCACTTTAGATAAGCTATTACCAGCAGGAGAATGGGGTGGGGGGAGAGAAAACCTTTTGAAGTGATAAACACCCATTTTTTCATGGTCTGTGTGTATAAAACATCCTCACTGCATTTTCCACTTTATGCATCCGATGAAGTGAGCTGTAGCTCACGAAAGCTTATGCTCAAATAAATTGGTTAGTCTCTAAGGTGCCACAAGTATGCCTTTTCTTTTTTGCATATAAAACTTGGATAAGTGGCATTGGCTCCCTTTTCTGGCTAACATCAGCTACTGCTATTGCAAACTTCAGTCACAAAATAAACACAGCAGAGACAAGAAAAGTCAGTTAGCTCATGCCAGAACCTCAAGGCTCTGGAGAAAAAGGCAGTCTGTATTCCACGTACCACTTTCTTGGACTCTTGCTGGATAACCCCATCCAAGCCAAGCTGCTTCATGCCCACTTTGTCCAGCACGCTGACTGTGATGGCCAAAATAAACCCCAACATACAGAGCAGGATACCTGCAAACACAGAAGAGATTTTAGGACTTTCCTGGAGGAGGAGAGCTGAATGACAGAGCCCTCTGCACAATTCATGTTCCTGGCTTCTCTCTTACAACATGACTAGTACTTCTCCATTGATCCACAAGTTGGATTCTTTGCAATGTATGGATCAGCACAAGGCTGGAAAGTTTGGGTTGCAAACACTGTAGGGCCAAGTTTTCACTGATTTTATAATAAGATCTGATAATATAATAAGATCTGATTGCCTTCTATGATGAGATAACTGGCTCTGTGGATATGGGGAAAGCAGTGAATGTGATATATCTTGATTTTAGCAAAGCTTTTGATACGGTCTCCTACAGTATTCTTGCCAGCAAGTTAAAAAAGTATGGATTGGATGAATGGACTGTAAAGTGGATAGAAAGCTGGCTAGATTGTTGGGCTCAACAGCTTGATGTCTAGTTGGCAGCCGGTATCAAGCGGAGTGCTCCAGGGGTCAGTCCTGGGGCCAGTTTTGTTCAACATCTTTATTAATTATCTGGATGATGGGATGGATTGCAACCTCAGCAAGTTTGCGGATGACAACTAAACTGGGAGGAGCAGTAGATACACTGGAGTGTAGGGATAGGATACAGAGGGACCTAGATAAATTAGAGGATTGGGCCAAAAGAAATCTGATGAGGTTCAATAAGGACAAGTGCAGAGTCCTGCACTTAGGATGGAAGAATCCCATGCACCCCTACAGACTAGGGACCGAATGGCTAGGCAGCAGTTCTGCAGAAAAGGACCTAGGGGTTACAGTGGACGAGAAGCTGGATATGAGTCAACAGTGTGCCCTTGTTGCCAAGAAGGCCAATGACATTTTGGGGTGTATAAGTAGGGGAATTGCCAGCAGATCGAGGGATGTGATCGTTCCCCTCTATTCAACATTGGTGAGGCCTCATCTGGAGTACTGTGTACAGTTTTACGCCCCACACTACAAGAAGGATGTGGAAAAATTGGAAAACGTCCAGCGGAGGGCAACAAAAATGATTAGGGGACTGGAACACATGATTTATGAGGAGAAGCTGAGGGAACTGGGATTGTTTAGTCTGCAGAAGAAAAGAATGAGGGGGGATTTGATAGCTGCTTTCAACTACCTGATAGGGGGTTCCAAAGAGGATGGATCTAGACTATTCTCAGTGGTAGCAGGTGACAGAACAAGGAGTAATGGTCTCAAGTTGCAGTGGGGGAGGTTTAGGTTGGATATTAGAAAAAACTTTTTCACTAGGAGGGTGATGGAACACTGGAATGGGTTACCTAGGGAGGTGGTGGAATCTCCTTCCTTAGAGGTTTTTAAGGTCAGGCTTGACAAAGCCCTGGCTGGGATGATTTAGTTGGGGATTGGTCCTACTTTGAGCAAGGGGTTGGACTAGATGACCTCCTGAGGTCCCTTCCAACCCTGATATTCTATGATATATTATAAATGATCTGGAATAGAAATTTCACATGTGCTTTATTCATGAGCCCAGTATATAGGACTATTTTGGTTAAAGTCAATACTTGTGAGAGATTTGCAATGGAGTTTTGAACAGTTTGTCAAGTCTTTGTTTACTAACATCTGGAATAGTTTAGAAGCTATATGTTGGCAAAGATTGTAAGCTTTTTCTAACTGAACTGTTTTGGTTCAAAAAGTTTTACAAAATTGGGGTGGCATAGTAAGTGGAGTGTGTAAACATCAGGGAAACTGCTTAGGTTCAAAGAAGTTACAAACTCTGCAGGCACAGCTGGCAAATTTTATAAACTCTTCTGACTAAACTGTTCAAAGTGATTGCCAATTACTACTTTCCAATAATGAATAGAAAACTTTCTTTTGCATATTTGTGTATGTGTGTAGTGGGGAGGACACTAGACCTCAATTTCTGCAAAATTTAATTAAAAAATATTTTAGCTTTTATGGTTACAGATAACTTTCTAAATGTGACCAGATGAAGTATTGTCTTACTGAGTCTGTGAATAGGCTGATCCTGTGTCTCTCCAGCTGCTTGTAGCTTTCCCAAACAGTACTAGAATGAAATACACAAGACTCTGGTCAGAAATCTACCATTCAGAACCTTATGGGCAGCAGAGAAACTGACAAGAATCATGTCCAATTAATTCTGCTACCTACAGTAGAACCTCAGTTACGAACTGACCAGTCAACCACACACCTCATTTGGAACCAGAAGTATGCAATCAGGCAGCAGAAAAACAAAAAAGCAAATACAGTTTAGTACTGTGTTAATGACTGTAAATTACTAAAAAAAAAAAAATAGAGAAAGTTTAAAAAAAGATTTTGCCATGTAAGGAAACTGGTTCTGTGCTTCTTTCATTTAAATTAAGATGGTTAAAAGAAGCATTTTTCTTCTGCATAGTAAAGTTTCAAAGCTGTATAAAGCCAACATTCAGTTCTAAATTTTTGAAACAACCATAATGTTTTGTTCAGAGTTACAAACATTTCAGAGTTACAAACAACCTCCTTTCAGGAGGTGTTCAGAACTCTGAGGTTCTACTGTATTAGGAAGGTTATGGGCAGCAGGAGAAGCAGGCCTTTGAGTTACTCACGGAGCAGGATGATCCATAAAATGGAAGCTGGGGGAAGGGTAGAATATCAGAGACCTCATCCCCTCAACCAGAAGACTGGGGGGACAGAGTAGTGAAGGAGCAAAGGAAAGCGAGAAAGACCTCCTTCTGTACTATCGCAGCCAGAGAGGGATTTCATCTTTAATAACAGACTTCTTCCATATCAGCCTCTATCTAGAAGATGGAGCCCCCTGAGCTGGTTCAGAGGACAACATTCTTGTAGGAATCCAAGCACTCTCAGAGTATGTGCTGAGTCTGTAGTGTAGCTCATAAGCCTCTGGATCTCACTAGTGGGTGTGTAAAACATCTTTTATATTAGTCTGTGGCTATTAGATGTCTAGTAAATTTTCAACCTCTGTAAACCTTCATAGATTTCCAAGGCAGAAGGGAACACTGATCATCTAGTTCAGTGGTTTTCAACCTGTGGTCTGAGGACCCCTGGGGGTCTGCAGACTATGTCTAAGCTTTCCAAAGGGGTCCAAGTCAACTGCCTTACAGAAGTCCAAATATATTACATTGACACTATTATCTTTATCAAATGAACCTGTAATCTCATCAAAAAAGATAAGTTAGTTTGAAGGATCTATTTTCTTTAAACCCATGTTAATTAGCATTAAATTATATTACCCTCCTTTACTTCTTTATGAATGAAGTCCCATAACAGCCGCTCCATTATCTTGCCTGGGATCAAAGTCAGACTGACAAGCCTATAATTACCTGGATCATCCCATTTACTGTTTTTAAATATTGGCACGTTAGCTTTCTTCTCATCAGAACTTCCCCAGTGTTCCAATTCTTAATGCTGATTTTCAATAACACCACAACAAGCTCCTCAGCCAACTCTTTTAAAAACTTGCATCTAAGAATATCTGGAAATGCTAATTTAAATATGTTTAACTTTACTAGCTGCTGTTTAACATCCTCCTGAGATACTAGTGGAATTGAAAGTTATCACATGGATTGACATCATCTGTATTTGGGAGGGGAAAAACAAAACAAATCAATATTTTTTGAACTCTGCCTTATTATTGACAGTTAGAATCATAGAATATCAGAGTTGGAAGGGACCTTTGGAGATCATCTAGTCCAACCCCCTGCCCAGAGCAGGACCAATCCCCAAGTAAATCATCCCAGCCAGGGCTTTGTCAAGCCTGACCTTAAAAACTTCTAAGGAAGGGGATTCCACCACCTCCCTAGGTAAGGCATTCCAGTGTTTCACCACCCTCCTAGTGAAAAAGTTTTTCCTAATATCCAACCTAAACCTCCCACACTGCAACTTGAGACCATTACTCCTTGTTCTGTCATCTGCTACCACTGAGAATAGTCTAGATCCATCCTCTTTGGATCCACCTTTCAGGTAGTTAAAAGCAGCTATCAAATCCCCCCTCATTCTTCTCTTCTGCAGGCTAAACAACCCCAGTTCCCTCAGCTTCTCCTCATAAGTCATGTGTTCCAGTCCCCTAATCATTTTTGTTGCCCTTCGCTGGACTCGCTCCAATTTTTCCACATCCTTCTTGTAGTGTGGGGCCCAAAACTGTACACAGTACTCCAGATGAGGCCTCACCAATGTTGAATAGAGGGGAACGATCACATCCCTCGATCTGTTGGCAATGCCCCTACTTATACAGCCCAAAATGCCATTGACCTTCTTGGCAACAAGGGCACACTGTTGACTCATATCCAGCTTCTTGTCCACTGTCACCCCTAGGTCCTTCTCTGCAGAACTGCTGCCGAGCCATTCAGTCCCTATTCTGTAGCAGTGCATTGGATTCTTCCGTCCTAAGTGCGGGACTGTGCACTTGTCCTTGCTGAACCTCATCAGATTTCTTTTGGCCCAATCCTCCAATTTGTCTAGGTCCCCCTGTATCCTATCCCTACCCTCCAGCGTATCTACCACTCCTCCCAGTTTAGTGTCATCCGCAAACTTGCTGAGGGTGCAATCCACACCATCCTCCAGATCATTAATGAAGATATTGAACAAAACTGGCCCCAGGACCGACCCTTGGGGCACTCCACTAGATACCAGCTGCCAACTAGACATGGAGCCATTGATCACTACCCGTTGAGCCCGACAATCTCACCAACTTTCTACCCACTTTGTACTGCATCCATCCAGCCCATACTTCTTTAACTTGGTGACAAGAATACTGTGGGAGAGCGTGTCAAAAGCTTTGCTAAAGTCAAGGAATAACATGTCCACTGCTTTCCCTTCATCCACAGAACCAGTTATCTCATCATAGAAGGCAATTAGATTAGTCAGGCATGACTTTCCCTTGGTGAATCCATGCTGACTGTTCCTGATCACTTTCCTCTCATCTAAGAGCTTCAGAATTGATTCCTTGAGGACATGGTCCATGATTTTTCCGGGGACTGAGGTGAGGCTGACTGGCCTGTAGTTCCCAGGATCCTCCTTCTTCCCTTTTTTAAAGATTGGCATTACATTAGCCTTTTTCCAGTCTTCCAGGACTTCTACCATTCTACCATTCCATCTACTGATGAACCAATACCATTGTTAAGATTCTTTTTGTACCTTATACTCTTAGGAAACTCCTCCATAACACTGCTGCTGGCTATAGAGGTTCTCTTGTGTCCCTTTGCTTCACTTATCAATTTTCTACATTTCCTTAATTTTGAATTGCCAGGCTGTGTCATTTTAGTCTTATCTTTTTACACCTTTTAATATATATCAAAGTTTGTGTCTTGAATACATATTTATACCAAATCTGTATCTGTTTTCTTCTTTTCTCAAGCTCTCATATACCATGGGAATGAACATTCTGTCAAAACCTAGACTGATTCAAATAAAAAAAAAAGACAAGATATTGTAAAGGGACACCATCAACTTGAAATCTAGTCAATTACAAAAAAAAAAAAAAAAGAAAAGAAAGATAATTTCAGGTCCTCTGCCTGCCCCTGAATTTCCCTGCCAGTTTTTATAGTTTTACAGCTTAGCGTCCTGAAATAGGGTCAACTGCCTCCAGAGCACCCCCTCCTGGTCAAGGGTGCCTCTGCAGTGCCCTACCTCTGTTTCCTCTTCTTCAGGTCTTCTTTAAACAAATGCTACACAAGCCAAACGAAATTAAACATTCCCCACCTGCGGTCCAATTTATTCGGTCCTCACATCCACTGGCCCTCCAGGTTCCAACCCCAGTTCAGCGTCCCTGTCCTGATAAGCCACTATAACACAAAGTCCTGCAAAATAGAACACTCCTCTTCCCAGTTTCTGCTTCTCCCTGAGAATCTGTCTTATAGACTCAGACTTCAAGGTCAGAAGGAACCATCATGATCATCTAGTCTGACCTCCTACATGTTGCAGGCCACAGAACCTCATCCACTCTCTCTTGTAATAGACTCATAACCTCTGGCTGAGTTACTGAAGTCCTCAAATCATGGTTTAAAGACTTCTGGTTACAGGGAATCCTCCACTTACCTTAGTTTTTTTAAACCTGCTTCTCCACAGCCCTTCCCCACTGGTGCCTTCTCATGCAACTCAGGGCCCTGCAGGAGCCTTCTTAGGCCTGCTCCACACCTAAAACTTAGCCCTGGTATACACTAGGACTTTAGGTCGAATTTAGCAGCGTTAAATCAATGTAAACCTGCACCCGTCCACACGATGAAGCCCTTTATTTCGACTTAAAGGGCTCTTAAAATCGATTTCCTTACTCCACCCCTGACAAGTGGATTAGCGCTTAAATCGGCCTTGCCGGCTCGAATTTGGGGTACTGTGGACACAATTCGACGGTATTGGCCTCCGGGAGCTATCCCAGAGTGCTCCATTGTGACCGCTCTGGACAGCACTCTCAACTCGGACGCACTGGCCAGGTAGACAGGAAAAGAACCGCGAACTTTTGAATCTCATTTCCTGTTTGGCCAGCGTGACAAGCTGCAGGTGACCATGCAGAGCTCATCAGCACAGGTGACCATGATGGAGTCCCAGAATCGCAAAAGAGCTCCAGCATGGACCGAATGGGAGGTACGGGATCTGATCGCTATTTGGGGAGAGGAATCCGTGCTATCAGAACTCCGTTCCAGTTTTCGAAATGCCAAAACCTTTGTCAAAATCTCCCAGGGCATGAAGGACAGAGGCCATAACAGGGACCCAAAGCAGTGCTGCGTGAAACTGAAGGAGCTGAGGCAAGCCTACCAGAAAACCAGAGAGGCGAACGGCCGCTCCGGGTCAGAGCCCAAACATGCCGCTTCTATGATGAGCTGCATGCCATTTTAGGGGGTTCAGCCACCACTACCCCAGCCGTGTTTGACTCCTTCAATGGAGATGGAGGCAACACGGAAGCAGGTTTTGGGGACGAAGAAGATGATAATGATGATGATGAGGTTGTAGATAGCTCACAGCAAGCAAGCGGAGAAACCAGTTTTCCCAACAGCCAGGAACTGTTTCTCACCCTGGACCTGGAGCCAGTACCCCCTGAACCCACCCAAGGCTGCT